GATAGATCTCATTGGCTCAGTCCGTCCCATAGTGCTTGCGTCTATTTGCGATTTCAACATATGGATCTACCCGCTCGTAGCCGCTTCGGCACTGAAATGGAATACGCCAAGACCCGCGCCATCGCACCCGCCGCTGCGGCTGCGCCTGTACTCTGAATGAGCCCTAAATACGAGTCTACAATATGTTATTAGTAAGCCAAAAAGGCTGTCAAAATATTTTTTTTTTACTGAAATCAATTTGGAACTATTTTTATGAAATCGATTCAAGAGCATACGATCTGATCTGTGTATTGATTCAGAGGCTTGTGATCCATTACGATCCAAAAAATCGATTCAAAGAAAAAAATTGATAGGGATGCACAATTGTTGATTGATGAACAAAAGTGCAAACCCTACTGGGAGACGTTATTCACTTGTGTACGCAGTAGGATGATCGTAGCGTTGAGGCAGGCAATAAAGTCAACACAATATAGTTGTTCATTTTATTCTTAACTTTAATGCAGACTAGAATAATACTCTTAGAAATGAGAACAACAATAGTTATTTCACATGTTACAGTGTACCTACCATAATATACCAGCTTTCACAATAAAAGGCTATTTATTATCTGTGTTCCGTATAGTAAATAAATCTTATTCACAACAGCTAGCAATATAAAATTACATCAGACTGTATACCTATTTAATGTTACAAATACTTGAACATGTTATAGACAACTAGTTATAAAAGGGAAAGGCCAGTGTTTCTTTGTTATGTTTAAATGCGAATAGCTATACTCTACGAATTTGGACAAAAACAATTAATGATTTTGATATAATGTGCTTAATATTTTTCGTATATTATGGAAGCTGTGAGCTTGCCCTAATATAGAAATACTCAAGGTAACTGTAAAACACTGGCCTAAATTGCAAATTAAAAGAACATTAGGGAAATTGATATAGATACTTATTGGTAAAAGAGAGTACACACATCTGAAAGCATAGTTGGGAGTAACGAGAAGCGGATTAGTCGGGTACCTACTACCACAGTGTTACAAATAGATTCTGTAAAATTTATACATAAATAAATATTTTTATGCTTTTAAAACTTCTATAATTTATATAGATTGCACGGTGTGCAAAGAAATTTGAGTTTCTCGTTTCTATTTTTGATATTTATACAGTTTCGTTTTACAGAAATGTTAAAAGCACAAATCACTCGTTCCCAGAGGACTAAGCTTAGCAATAATATAACATAGGACATACATAATATCGTAGGTTACATGGTAATGCTATAGCGACACTATAAAATTTACAAAATATGATATATCTTTTGAAATGCTACACGAAATAATGGTTCTCAATCGCAATATCCACTAATCCATTCATTCAAGTAATGTTTTAAAGACAGAATTGTGGCCTGCATGTGATTCGCCCAAGAATAAGTTTAAATACATGATTTCTACATACAATTATAAAATAGACTCGGTAATACTAAATTTATAATTTTTATATGGGCACTTACTGAATCTAGTGTAATTTTTCAAGATCTATATTTTCTATCTAAGCTATACATTATGTATGATTCTTTTATGAACGTTTGAACTATGGCCAGTGCAGGTTGACTAAAAAAAAATTTGAACAATTCATTAAAAAAATATATAAAAAATAAAACAACTATTTTAATTCAACATAATGGAATGAATTCGAAAACTAATCACAAATAAAGTAATATTTAATATGAATTAACAACAGTTTACTTATTTAGTATTTAATAACTTTCTGCAATAGTTACTTAATGACTGAAATATTTTGACTGTACTTTAATCTAAATAGTATCCTAAAAATAAATATAACGTATTACAGTTAATTTAAAAAAAATAATCTGGAAATCATTGGATTTATATTAAAAAAAACATGATATATTTTAGTAATAATTTGCATTGCGTTTGTGAATTACAAAATAGTACATTGCAATAATATTAATTATCTAATATAAAGCGGATATGGTACAAGTCCAAAACATGTATTCGATTTGTGATAATAAACATACAATAATTTATTGTATATGGGTATGTATATATATATTTTCATGATAAACAAAGGTTTTGCTCTTTTGTACCTGTTCTACATACACACCTATAGTCAACAGACTAAAATCTACAATAATAAATAAATATAGTACACAAAAATTATTTATAAAAAAATAACTTGAGTTATATTTCATACTTACAGAAATATATTTAGTGTTATGTAGCGTCATACCAATGAAATTCAGCCGCGTTATACCGGTGCCTTTAATTTACGGAAATGGAATAAAAGTGAATTTTTGTTACCATATCACAATGACTTGTTACTATGTCAATGATGTAAAGTACAAACTATATACGAACCAAAAAACAGGTCGCGTCTTGTAGAGAATTGTAGCGAATTGTCGGGAATTCCCGCTGCTATTATATCATATCTCTTCTTTTTTATAATATAGACACACGCTTGGCCACAATCTCAACTGATGTTAAGCGACGATGTGACCGACGATGGGACACGTTTGCCTAAAAAATGCCTATTCACTCTAGCCTTTAATAGACCCAAATTGTACTTTTCGTACGCATCAGAAAGGAGGAAGCAAAGCGCTTAGTGCGAACAGGTGGAATATCAACGACATAAGAATGGAGTGCTCCGGACTCTAGTCGACCGAAGGAGGAACAGTGAGGGTGGAATTAAATTGAAAAATTCCAGCGCACACTCCCCTAAATGTATCCGATAGAAAACCGACAAGCAGTCTACTTTTCTGCGATTGTCGAGATTTTGCAGCTTCGACTCCATAAGAGAATTGTTGTTAATAAGTCTCTTTGCTTTTCGCTGCACCGAGTCCAAGGCAGTTAACTGGTAATGGGTAGAGCCGTCCCAAAGGGCCACCTTACAGCAGTACTCCATACACGATAGAACTTGTGCTTTATACAGATTTAAAAGCTGTTAAGGTGTGAAGTACCGCCTGACCTAAAGTATGCCTAGTTTTTTGGCAGCAGTTTTTGTCAACTCTCTCACTCGATCTATCTAGTTTGTACATTACACAATTAACATAACGTCGCCTTACACTCTCAAGCTCGTATCTTAAAACACGAAAGTTACTGAAATGTAAAAAATGGATTGTATATACAATTTAACAGGCCGATTTCCGTCGAGTATATAACCAGAAATAGAGACGAAATGTCATTTAATTTGTTTGAAAACTGTTCTGCCAAATCATTACTGTGACAACTGCGCTCCGATTGGCCAGACCGAATTCGAAACAATTGACGGGTGCCGTCAATTGTTTTACATCAAAGAGACCAGTTTAACTTGAGCTTTGCTATAATGGACGAAAATTAAAAAATACATATTTAGTATTTAATTACCGATGAAATGTGAGTCCGTTTGTTTTGTAATTAGATGTTTTGCTGTTTTTACCACACCATCGAATGAAACATATCCCCATAGTTAGAGATAATATCTTTATTACAATAAATACAGAATATTTTTGAAATATTCGGAGACGTACACACAGGTACTTTTACTTTTAGCATTTTTCTTTTCACATCACTAACTTTGTGCTTTAAGTACGAGTGTGAGAAAGTAAGGCGACGATATGGTGTTTTACAATCATGATACTCATTTAGGATCGAACACAAAGAATAACCTTTATTTAAGATCACTTTCGTCTTTATAACGGGATCAGATTGAAATTAGATATATTTTAGGGTTCTCTTGCCTCAGCAAGGAATAGCGTGTACAAAGCACTTTATGATTTGTGAGTTTTAATTTGTATTTGTTTTCTTTTATATTTTTTAATCGAACGTTAGTAATGTATGTTGCGTTTATTATTATAAGGAACTACGCAGTGTACTATATTAAAGAGCTTATAATGTGTATGTATTGTGGTTGTTTCAAGATGTGAACCGAATAAAAAATAATCTCTCGATCTGCCAGGACTCCAATCAAGCGTTTGCCCTCGACTGGCATGGACACAAATTCGAATCCTGTTAGGACGAAGGAATTTTTCCTTGTGTTTGATCTTTGTATTAATAGTTATGTACAATTTGCCATAATGTTCTATGGCAATCATTGATGGAATTTGAGGTTTGGGTCAGTAACATATGGCGAAACATACACTTTTTCGTGATATCACGCGACGGGAAGAAATCATGCACCTGGTGGTAAGCGACACGCCTATCTATTACAATTGCAGTGCCACACAGCTTCAATTTGACTACAGCCTTCTGAAAAATTATACGTAAGCATAGAACGACTAGATAACTTCTTTGATCGAAATTCCGTCGATTTTATTGTCAATAATATGTAGTTTTATGGTCCAGTTGCCAAAAAGCTTAATTGTGAGTATATAACAGGTACATAAGAGCATATAGAGAGATATACAGCTTATTCTACCTTATTTAACCACATAAGCATGTAAGCATGTAAAGACATCACAATGTAGTCCATGAGGTGGTACTGAGTATTGTTTTTTTCCAAATCACGCGCCTCCTAGCTGCGTATTGACATATATGAAAGTTCAGCGCAAGACAAATTTAACAAAAAAATACGCGCCTGAGTTGCGCTCACGCATTTTTCTTCACAGGCGACTTGTAGGCATTCGAATACAACGTTCCAATATACAGGGTGAACTAAATCAATGGGACAATTACTTAAAAAAACATTGTCTTATTTCTCGTAATATGAATAACATTCATATATTTTTAACAGCTTACCTGAGCCGGAAATTGAATCAACGAAAAATGCAAAAAATAAACAATTATTTATTGACTCAAATGTTTATTTTACACGGATTTATCCATATCATTTATCGTATCGATTAGTACAATAAAATAGTGAGTGTTTATTTTTTTGTATTTTTAGTTTGTAGCAGTAGAGCTCCTTGTGAAAGAGTTCGTCCAGGGAAGTACTGCCACCTTACCTATTTCTGCCCCCAAGAAGTAAGTAATGTTAGCATTACTACGTTCCGGTTTAGAAGGGTAAGGGTGCTGTTACAGGCACTTGAGACTTGTCAACTTTATGTCTCAGGGTGACGGGAGCAGTGGCAATGCCCCTCAGATATTTGCGATTTAAAGCTCTGGGTGGCACTGCAACTGTTATGAACAGGCGGTTCTATTCTCGGACCAGATAGGCTTTTTAAAAAATCTGTGATATGATCACTATCAGACCATAAATCTGGTATTCATATTAAGAAAAATAAAAGAATGTTTCCTGTAAGTACTACCTTAAGATAGTTCGCATCATGTTACATGGATTTTTTCAGCCCTGTATGTATGTAACATTTATCACTGTGCTTAGATATTTCAAAAATATTTAAATGGATAATTATCGACGATCGAATGGACAATTATTGTTTGAATAGCTTGATCGTTGTACCTCCGCCTTCGGTAATATTATATGAATGCAAGTTCCAGTTCTTCAAACAAATTAGTCATTTGTGCTCCTTCCAAAATCGCTTGAAGATAAAGAGCCTGGATGGTTTTAAAATAATATATCTGTTTAAGATTCCCTAGTCAAACAAGAATCTCTTCAAAGTATCATGAATCGGGGGCAGTTTCAATGTTAGAGGCGCGTGAGTGGCGTGTAATATGTAAGCAGGCACTTGTACGCATGCGCGTTAGATGAACACCGGGTTCTCCTGCCCCGTCAGCAGCCGGAACATCGACGTCGGCATCGTCTTCATCAGAATCTGGAATATTATGCACAATTAATTGTCTATATCTTAAATATGTCTCAGATGAAGCGCAAGCTCAAGAAAGCTCGCGCATTCCGCGGAAGATTTTGGCCGGTATCTAGTCTGTACGTTACACCATTGACCACAAAGTTCATTATGCAATGTACAATATCGTTACAAAACTTCGCTGCCATTCCGCTGCAATATAAATTGAGCCTAATTGTCTTATCATAATATGATAGTACTCCATCTTGGCCTAATGTGAGTTGGAGATTTCTCCTTTAGGGTCAAGGGTCTTAAGGGTCCTGAACATCGTGTGTATAACCAGAAATAGAGACGAAATGCCATTTAATTTGTTTGAAAAATATTCTGTCAAATCATTACGGTGACCACTGCGCTCCGATTGGCCAGCCCGAATTCGAAACAATTGACGGGTGTCGTCAATTGTTTCATTTCAAATCGACCAGTTTAACTTGAGCTTTGCTATAATGGGTGAAAATTGCAAAATTACATATTTAATATTTATTTACCGATGAAACGTGATTCCGTGTTTTGTAATTAGATGTTTTGCTGTTTTTCCCAAATCACCGAACGGAACAGCCCCCATTGTTAGAGATATTATGTTTATTACAATAAATACATAATAGTTTTGGAATATACGGAGACGTACACACAGGTCAGTTGTTAGCACTGTACTATGAAATAGTACTACTAGTTGTATTCTAATTTGTAATTTCCGCAAAACTAGAGTTAATATTTAAAAGTGATATATAACGCCCATTTTCCTGATGATTTGCCAGGGATAGATGGCCCTTATTCCGTCTTTATTTCTGGTCATATACTCGACGGTCGTGAACCTTATTCGCCTTGCGAGTTTCATCACGATATTATCCGTTTGGTGCATTTGAAATATGAATAGGTGTGCACCTCTCCGACGGAGGTGGCCAGCAAGTTGACGATGCGCTCGTGCGGCACGGCCACGACGCTCTGCGCGTTGATCTCGATGATGCGGTGGCCCACGCGCACGCCGCCGCGCTCCGCAATGCCGCCGCGCAACAGGCTGCAGATCTAGACACAAATCATCACAGTCAGTACTTGAAGTTTTTACGATTGCACGACCCAAACTCAAATCGCGCCTTTGTGATATCGCACTGTTAACACAGTAGTGTATTAACCCAAAAAGTGTATTTTCTGAGAATCGATGAAAAACGAGTTACTCACTTCCCGTGTGAGATCATTAAAATTTATGTATAAGTTATACTTTATTATAGACATCTAAACAATTTCCTACTTGCAAATACATTTAAGAATAAAAGGGGAACAATAGATTCATGTTTTCATTTTAATAAGGGCGTTTTTGACCAGAACTAGCTCACATAAAGTATGTCTCATTTTGAGTTAAGTAGATATACTTTAATTGTTTCTTACAATTACAATTTTACGTTCAGTAATGATAGAATCTTGAAATTCACATATTTTGAGTTACAACATTATTGTAATAGCAGTGCGATATTGTTTATGAAATTTTAATTGGAAGATTTAAGTACAGTAATAGAAAAAAGATGTTAAGAATAATAATAATAGTTATTGCACACCCTCCACATTTTTTTTAATTTATTTATTTCATGTTGCTTACAGTCAACCCAAACGCAATAGTAAGGTTCGTATTCCAGAACTCTACTCAATGCTCAAGTCAGGATTTGAGCAGACTTGAGTATGACTTCAAGCACTGGAAATACGACCCTAATGGCAAGGATTCGAGTATGATGTTCAGTGCTCACTACAATACACAAGTCCTGACTTGAGCATTGAGTAGAGTTCTGGAATACGACCCTAAGGGTCGTATTCTAGAACTCTATTCAATGCTCAAGTCAGGATTGCACTGGCAACACAAGCACTGGAAATACGACCCTGATGGCAGGGACTTGAGTATGATATCAAGTGCTTTAAACCATACTCAAATCCTAACTTGAGCATTGAGTAGAGTTCTAGAATACGACCCTTTGACTTGAAGCTAAATGAACAAACAGTATTAAGTTTTAAATATAATGCTATAAACAATAAATTATTACAGATTAATAGTAATGAAAAGATCAATAAAATCCATTTGTTATTACATTTTAAACTAGCATATAATACCTATTACATAATACTGCTGTCCCTAAGTGTGCTTCAGACCTCCTAAATGGCAATTTTGAATATCAACCGGACTCTTATTATAGAAGTGTATACATAGCCCAAAAATGTATTTATGACTGTTTTAGAGCCTTGTTTTTATTCATAGAAATAGTGCCCTCTAATTTTCTTTGCTGTGCCCTTACAGGGTATCACGTACCAAGCACTTATTAAAATCTTTACATAAACTTTAAATGTTGCAATAATTGAATGAAATTGAAATAAAAAATTAACTTACAAATGATGATTCTGACGTTGTAGAGTGGTTAACTGCGCCCACAACAGAACAAGCACGTAAACGAAGAATGTTTAAATTGTTCCTCAATTTACCTCATACCACAATAAAGTTTTTTGTACACGGTTAATACGATGTAACAAAAATAATATATAAATATTCTCAAACATTTATGTTTTTTTTCCAAAACATACGCATACGAACAACAACTCGAGTTTTACAGTCAATATTTTATGCTATTACATTTGAGATAAAGTATAAACTTCAATGCTCTGAGACGCAGAGAGAAATGGGCCGCAAAGGTCCGAGGCCGGTCTGCAATTTATACCGTATTTCAATTGGAATAGCATCAAATATACATTACTAAATGTAACGTACCGTGCCTTCCCGTCCGGTGGTTTGCGCTGGCCCTAATTCTCACATTTTATTCAATAATATGAATTAACCCTTACCACGCCATTCTGCACGCTGAATCCGAGCTGGTACTTTGTATCAGGCCGTTTAATCTTGACCTCTACGACGGGCGCGCACGGCACCACAGTGAGTTTCACCACAGTTTGGTTCTTTGAGTTTTTAATATAGGTCTGGCACGTTGATAGGGGCAGACCTACTAAGCTCACGCCGTTTATCGCTATTATTTGATCACCTAGAACAATTTCACTTGTATTAATACAGATGCACTATAATTAGTACTTTATGCTTTAATAGGAGAGTTACAAATCACCCTCAATTCCGATCATTGGTTATAAGTTATTATTGGTACAAAGATAGCACAACACAAAGAAAAAATTCTTTCGATTTCACTCACAGAACAATAAATACAGTAAAAGTGGTTAGTTAGTGTCCGACGCGTGCCAGCTGTAGGACTTGATAGACCTATCTGAGCTCAGTCTGCCATTTTTGCTTTGTATGGTACGGTTGTGTCATTCTTTCGTGCAAATTCTCTGAAATTCTAGATGCCTTCTTGTGCTGTTTTAGAGTGCAAAAATGATAGCGGCACCAAAAATATTACCCGTGGTGTATTTCATGTCACCGGAAAGTCTTATTTTAATAAATTTTATGTTTATCGAAATATTTTTTTGTTACAAGAAACAAAACTAAACCATTATACCCCTGCAACAGTGTAGCCAGACTTATGCGAAATTAATTCGTCAATTTATGTTTGTTAAGTAGCCGATATTCACCCAAGCCATAAAATCCCTAAAATTCAAACAATTCTGCTTGCTGCCGGACACTGGGGAATAGAAACTTTCTTATTTCCCCAATTCCCCACACGTAGAAATAATCAAACCCCCAAATGAGTTATTTTACATCTCCATTCCCCACAAAATCCCCAATAAAATTTATAATTCCCCAGACATTTTATTAAGTAGCCTAAAATCGCCTTTTCCTATTTCAAACATAGCCTAAATATCGCCGATAACTTTTTAGTCGCCGCGAAATTGCCTAATCTAGCAACAGTGCAATATGGTCTTTTGTTTTTTGGAGAACTAAATTAATAAGTCCAATTCGTCGTCGTTCAGCATTTAACCGCTAGATGGCAGTACATTAATGGAAATTTCAATAATATCAACACGTCTAACTTGCAATAATAGGTATTGATGGTATTGAACTTTCAACGATATACCAATAGGGTAAAGTTTAAATTATATTACAAAATCCAGAATTTGTTATTTCTTTTTAAATTTCACCAAACCCAATCAATATTTTTTCGCCAAACCAAAAACCAATCAATATCAAGACTGTAATTTTTCAAATTAAGAATGTGTGAGTTTTGGCGACATCGGTTCTCTGAGTAATCGAGGCTTAAGGCACTTTCATTGTGTTTTTTCTTCCGTGGATTTCACTGGACTCGAACCAGCGACTGTTGCCACACCGGAGCCACCGCTATTACTAACTGAGTTACAGATCCAGTCACTAATTTCTCTATGTGCTTGTGCGCCACCTGTGAGAAACTCATGAAACAAACTTTCCAGGAAGTCCAGTCAGATAGAAGTGACTTTTCATTGTGTTGTTTGATCTTTGTGTTAATAATAACTTACCTATATTAAGCTGTCCGCAGCGTGCAGCGGCGCCTGCTGGTGCCAGGTTAGCGATCACGACTGTTGGCAGCATTGAACCCCATCCTGACTCCACCACCACCACGCCGAGAATCTCGCCCTTAGTTTTTGGAACCACCACCTGGAAATAATGATTTTAAGAGTTTTAACGCATCCAGTCCCCGTAGTATGCCGCCTCGATAGAGCCATTATATCCACATTTACTTTGACAGTCGGCTCAGTAATTTTATCAAAGTAAAAATTGAGCGCGACAAACGAGATGAAAAGAATAATAAAAACAAACATATTGATAATAATACATATAAATTATTGAAAAAATGTGAGAACATTTGTAATACAGTTACAGTACACGACCGTATTTATTATTTATTTTAATTAATAGTTTATTGTACAGGAAAATTAGAACAAGTCACAATGAATTCAAGGAAAATTAAAACAAAAGGTTCTGCTTGTTTCTAATAGAAATTTCTTCCTGCAGACCGAAATACAGAACACTATAACTAAAAGAACGAGCATACGTGCACAACCAAAACTAAAAAAAATGTAATATAAAAATAATACACTTCTGGACACATCTATTGGCCCACCTTGTATTTTCAGTTTCGTTTGGTCCTAGCTAAAATTTTATATTAGGTCGAGCAAAAAGTTTTTATGCAGTTTTGAACCTGGCACATTCACAATTTCATTCAATAGTCTTTTTTTGAATTTCGAACACAGAATTTAAAGAAACAAAAGACAATTTGGAGCCTGTTTGTTGATATCAAACAATCGAATACTAAGAAAACTTGGTTTTATTGGTTTACTTGGATTTAATTCTTGAAAAAGTGATTGATATCTTTGGTTTTGCAACAAACATTACTTATTCTTAACATTAAGGTGACGTTCTATCAATAATCTATGGATACTTCACCTGAAGTCGCCGCCCAAGCTGTGGCACTTATTCAGGCCGGACACAGCCAAAGAAACGTGAGTGCTCAACTTAATTTAAGTCGATCTGCGGTCCGAAATGTTTATCGGAGGTACCTAGAGACTGGCGGCTTTGTTCGTCGCCAAGGAAGGCCACGATCTCGGGTCACAACTGAAAGGCAGGATCGATTCATCGTGACGACCAGCTTGAGAAATCGTCACCTTACCTCCATTGAGATACAAAACCAACTTCGCGACTTCCACGGAGTATCTGTGAGCGCTCGAACTGTTCGGAGAAGGTTAAAAGAACGCGATATGGTACCACACAAGCCAGCTAATGGGCCCAAACTAACGCGAGCCCACCGAACAGCGCGCCTTCATTTCGCACGCAGTCATTTAAATTGTACACAGCAAGATTGGAGCCGTGTACTCTTTTCTGATGAGTCTAAAATTGTGTTACATGGCAATGATGGAAGGAAGAAGGTCTACCGACGTAAGGGAGAGCGTTTCGCACAATGCTGCTTTGAAGAGAGGGTTGCTTATGGCGGTGGCTCATGGACTGTCTGGGGCGGTATATCCGCGAGCGGCAAAACTCAACTTGAGGTTGTTACAGGACCACGGCTGCCAACATTAAATGCTGAAAGGTACATTCGTGAGTGCTTAGAACCTCACGTGATACCATACGCGGACTATGTGGGCCCAAATTTTCTTTTTATGCATGATAATGCAAGAGCCCATGCGGCCGGCATCGTCAGGGAATATCTTCGGGATGTGAACATCACAGTTATGGACTGGCCAGCCAGAAGCCCAGATATGAACCCCATTGAGCACATGTGGGACGAGCTAAAAAGACGTGTTAGGGCTCGTCAGCCAGTTGCCCAGACGATGCAGGAGTTGAAAACTGCCATAGAAGAGGAATGGGAGATGATCCCTCAAAATTTCATAGAGCGGTTGATAAACTCTATGCCTAATCGTATGAGAGCTGTGGTAGATGCCCATGGAGGCAACACGCGTTGTTAAATTAAACCTTTATTTGATAAAACATGTTTTTTATTCAAAAATCAATTGCCTTTAACAAGGCGCATATCCGATTTGTTAGGCGTAGCTCCATGTCGTATGGTATTCTGAATTCAAATTTAAAACAATACGATCGAAAAAGATGGTAAAGTGTATCAGGTTTAAAACTGCATCAACAGTTTTTGTTCAATCTAGCAATCATATTTCGGTAGGGGCCATCGAAACCTAAACTCTAAGGTGGGCCAATAGATGTGTCCAGAAGTGTATAATAATATTAAATTGTTATAAATTATACACATACTTAGATAAATACATTTATCTTTTATCTAAGTATTTATGTAATTTATAACAATTAGCGTAATTAGCAATGCGTAAATAATAACTAATATAATGTAAAATATGTAAAAACAGAAACTACAAAAACACGACTTTTTTTACGGTTTTCGCGGCGATGATTAAACGACAAAGATAGCTATATAGCTATCTTTGTAAAGCAAGGACGACAGAAACAATATTTATAACAATACAAATATAAGATTATTACCAAATAAGCAAACTTAGCTTTATCGACTGAAATAAACATTATCACGGGGAGGTTTATCACACATATACTGCCATGCTACGACCGCTGAAATAGGTTCAGAAAAACCAAATTAGATTGACCTTTCGTTCTTATATATGTGATTATAGAACGTAGAGGTCAGTGTAATTAGCCTTTTTCCCCCACATTATCTACAAACCTCCTTCTGAAGTTCCTTCTTAGCGAACATTTGTAGCTCATCGCCGAAGATCTCCTGGCTGTTGAGCACCTCTTGATAGTCCATCTCTTTCACGAAACTGTGGTCCTCGATGCCATTCGCTTTTAGGAACTCCATGTAGGCCACTTGGAACGCTTGCCCAATGGACTGGGCTATGAATTGCGCCTGAGGAGAAATAACAGCTGAAGTAAAACAGATATAATACGAATTACACGTACACAGAGAGCGAGCGCGCCCGCGCTCGTTGTGTTGTCGTCCATACAAAAACACGGAATTAAATCCGTCGCGGTCCCGACCCGCGCCCGACTCGCACCCGCTCTCTGTGTGTTTCACGCTTTAGAGCCAACGCATTAAATTTATCAATGCGTGCTACTGCAATTGAAATAAGATACAAGTTTCAATGCTCTGAGACGCAAAGAGAAATGCGCTGCGATGCTCCGAGGTTAGTCTCTGAGCAATGTAATGTATACCTTATTTCAATTGTAAAAGCATAAAATATGCATTGATAAATTTAATGTCCACTGCCTTCTAATCCTGGTTTGCGCTGGCCTTTTCATATGATTACTATTGCGAACTGATAGCTTGACGAAAATGTAAATTCTGTCACGAGAGAAACAAAACGCTATGATAATAAAGATTAATATCGCCTGGCTATAAGATAACGTCTCGCCTTATATACCAGTTAATAAATTCCACGAAAATTGCATCGAAAATCGGAGGTGAAACAAAACTACTGTCTTGTGTATCATGGCGTTTTAATAATTATTGATGAATACGTATTCGTTGGAAAATCGAGATATATTCGATTTTTTTTTCAACTAAACAAAAAGTTACGGGCTCTGTTCCCACGGTCACGACTAATTCAGATAGTAAAGCCATCAACCACTTATGACTAACATTAATGCCTTTTATTCTACTAATTGCATATCCCAAATTTCTATCCCTCTATTTAGAATTGATATCTTCAATTCCGATGACTGGTCATAAGTCAGTCTCATCGAGTATATAACCAGAAATAGAGACGAAATAAGGGCCATTCATCTTTGGCAACTTATCAGGCAAATGGGCCTTATATCACTTTTAAATATCAGCTCTCGTTTGCGCTGAAAACACAAATTAGAAAACTGAAATAGTACAGCGCCAACAACTGACCTGTTGACGTCTCCGTATATTCCAAAAATATTCTGTATTTATTGTAATGAAGACAATATCTCTAACAATGGGGAGCAGTTCCATTCGGTGGTGTGAGAAAAACAGCAAAACACAAATTACAAAACTTAACGTAATTGAATATTAAATACGTAATTTTTCAACTTTCGTTCATTATAGTAAAGCTCAAGTTAAACTGATCGATTTGAAGTGAAACATTGATGACACCTGTCAATTCTTTCGAATTCGAGCTGGCCAATCGGAGTGCGATTGTCACCGTAATGATTTGACAAATAGTTTTCAAACAAATTAAATGACATTTCGTCTCTATTTTTGGTTATATGTATACTCGGCGGTTAGTCTATTATTATTTCTCTTCTGAAAGTTCTCATTTTACAGATGTCGCTTTGTTACATTAAGGGTATATCCTTCAAAGTAAATACCAACCTCTTCACTTTCAAACACGTGACAAATCATTTTTGGCGTTCTGTTCAACTTGGGCTGGTCCGAATCGCTTTCGTGTGGCACGAATCTTCTCCTGGCCATTAAAACGACCAAGTCTCCTATATCAGCTATGTAGGATATGGTACGGAGTGCATGATCCATCATGATTTCTTTTAACTCTGTATTGAGAACCATGATTTTCTCCGTCGATATGAAGAGATCGACCTCTGTGCTGGGCTGGTTTTCACCTTCCGGCGCCTGGTGACAAGTTGACAATATTTTTAATTACATAATTGTAAATGCGTTGTTACTATTAACATCCTATAGGTCCTGACAGATTTGTTCACTTGAAATTGGAGACTTTCATTTGGCTTATTTGAATGGTATATCTACAGCTGTATTTATAAAAATACGTGATAGTGTCGTACCGCTTATTATATGATAATTAATTCAGGACTAATTAGAAATTGGCGAACGAGTTAGGCTAATTCCAATGGTATATACTACAATTTTATGCATAAAAATATCCGATAGTATCGTATCTCATATTAAGTGATAATTAATTTTCGACTAATTAGAAATTGGTGAATTGAGTTAGACTCATTCGAACAGTACATCAATAGATTTATGCTAAAAATATCCGATAGTATCGTAGTGCATATTAAGTTATAATCAACGATTAATTTGTGATTGGTGAATTGTACTCGAATGGTATATTAGCAGTTTTATGCAGAAAAGTATCCGATATTAATTAATTTATGACTAATTAGAAATTGATGAATTGAATTATGTTTATTCGAACGTTATATCTATGTTTTATGCATAAAACTATCCGATAGTATCATATCGCATATTAAGTAATAATTAATTAACGACTAATTTTATTAGTAATTGGAGAATTGCGCATTAGTAATTGATAACTCTAACTGTAGTGTGATATCGTTTATTAAGTAGTAAATTAATTTGCGATTATTGCGCTTCTACAGCATTAATTTGTCTGATCTTGTATAAATCTTTATCAAAAAATTAATCTCGTGTCAATTATTTAAGATGTTTTTCATTAATCTATAAACTTGAGTATACTCGCTCGCTTGACCGTCCTAGGGTCAAACCTCGGAAAGTCTGCGAGACAAGAAGTGTGCAATCCGCCAATCGTGAGCGTTCTCGTTCAACGACTTTGCTCTCATTGGTCGAAAGCCTTCCCCTCCCTCATCCCGCAGACTTTAAAAGCAGGGCGATCGAGCTACAATACAATACTAGATATGTACCGAGGTTTACTAAGCGATTCCTGTCGACTTATAAGCTATGAAGTGCCAGTGGGTGGAGTTGGTGGTATTAATGTTAGTGAACTTACCAATGCCTGATGAGCCAAGTAAGCAGAAAAGGAAAACGTGATCGATTAAATGTCAGTGAAACAAGTCAAATGGGAACATATTGAACTACAGTATAATACACTACTATGTATCCTGATACACGATTGGAAAGTAAATCAATTTCGACTCGCAAATAGATATAAATGTAATCATATGATTACATTTTCAACTTATAAAATAGGTAATTCTGTTTTTAATCTTAAATTTCCGTTTCTTCGTATGCATTTCGTGTTTTTAACACTTAGTTCATATTTTGTTAAGTGGATTTCGGATAGAGCTAGTATACTGCCAGCCAAACCACCTTGATCTTAGTGACGGCTTCCTCGACCATGTGTTTTTTGGGTCTCTTCTTGCGGCGGCGCGAGTCCTCGTCCACCTCGACGGAGCCGAGAAAGGTGAGGCGAAAGACGGCCGCGGGTGCCGCGTACACGCCTGAGTACGGGCCATCGCAGCCCCACTGCGGCAACCGGCTAACCTCCTCGAACCATACCAACGCCGCTCTCACATACCCATTCGTTTGTGCATTGTACGGCTTACAGATTTTTTATTGGTTTATTGACTTCGGGTGGTTTTGCTTTGAATGCTTTCAAAGGTCGTACGTAAGCAATACGTAGTCGACTATTCTTGTGTAATAATAGTTATTTCTCAAGAGAAATTGGGTTTAATTGAAGGCGATATTAATTATTAATTGTTTTCGACGCCTACTCACTGTCAGTCAGTACCATAAATGCATGTTTTAACTAATTATATCGCGCAAAAGCAAGCAAAACAACTCGAATACAACACACTCAACAATGATATGTGAGAAGCGAGCGGGAAACCGATCATTAGTATGAAAGCATCCTAACTCGTTAGTCCGCGGGAGTCGAGTGTAGGCGCAAAGCTTGACGCGTCGCGGCCTTGTGCGCCCAGTGCTGCGCCTCGGTGCGCCCCCGTGCGCCCCACCGGTGTGAATCGGGTCATGTCTCATGCCATATCGTGCGAATCATGAAATCGTGCATGAAAAAGCAACTCGGAATTTCCGTAGCCGAAGCAATTTAGAAACTCATTAAACTACAATTTTAATTCCAAACATGAATGTCAGTTCTATCCAGTTAATACCGACATGTTAACTATAGTACTCGTACTCCTTGTGTTGAATGAAAATCAACAGAGGATTTAAACTGTGATAATCATTATTTATTCATACAATAATCGAACAAACACAAAGAAAAATTATTTCGATTCGATTGGACTTGAGCCAGCGTCAGCTGCCTCAACGTGGCTACCGCTATTACCGGCTGAGCTAAGAATCGATTGCATTAGGATCGACACTGTATCGCATTAAGTCGGTTAGGAAAAACGTTATGTCAATGTAGTAAGAGCGAACAAGACTTTGTGCGTTTCGCGTCGGCGACCCGAGCGTAAGCGAAAAGCATATCGCCTTTTTTGCGTGGACATAAAGCTTTTTCTGATCGGCTTAATGCGATTCCGTATTAGTAAGTGTGGTGACTTCCTAATGCTAAGTTACGAACTGTAGCCACGTTGAGACAACCAACGCTTATTTGACTCCAGTCGAGTCGAAGGATTTTTATTTTGTTTGTTCGATCTTTGTATCAACAATACTAGCTAGTGGAGTATTTCTAACCGACTTCAAAAAAAAAGGAGGAGTTCTCAATTATATTGTATTTTATTTCGTATGCATAACGAGATAACTGGTTTGTGTATCGATTTTGATGATTTCTTTTTTATTGGAAAGAGGGTACCTCAGTAGTGGTCCCATTTAAATTAGAAGAAAATATTCCAAATTTCCGGTTATCGATTGCAATAAAACTTGGCGAATAGATGTAATTCAAGGAACTTTTGAGGTCGGTTTTATTAGTACTCTACTCAAATTATCTCAGATGAATATCGTATATTTTTATGACAATCATGTAATTTCACTCGGTTTATTTTATTCGGTAAAAAATCCTTTATAAAATTATGAACATGCCAAATGCTTATATTTAAAAATCGGACAGCACAAGATGAAAAATCTTACCTTTCGCACTACGTAGAAAAGCCTACAGAAATGTGTAAATTAACGTTAGTAAGCACAGCGTAAAGCGGATAGCAAGCGATAGACACACATGTCCAGAGGAGGCTAGCCGGCAATACGGGATCCGACAATCTTCCGGGTCGAGGGGTGAGGAGCACACTGAAAAAAAGTCTCTAGTGCCAAGTCAATAAGAGCAGAACGGTTTGGCGGGCAGGTTTTGTGGGCGGCTGACCACAAAGGTTCACATTCTCGATCCCGGTGCTTTCCAATCGCAAGGAATACCGGGTTCGTATCACAATATTGAGGTAAACAAGTCAGCTCCACGGTATTATAAAATCTAATCTAGGTTAAGTTCTTTAGGACAGGACAAGGATATCCCACTAGCATTCTCAAAACACTAATCCTAATGAGCATGAAATTACGTATTTACAGATGACAAATACTCAAATTCTAAAATCATGACAACAAGGGTATTTTGTTTTACGTGCATAGAAATAGAAATGGCAGTGCCCGGATAGGATTTGAGAATAGAATGAGATTCAAAAGAGGAACCTCAAAGATTTCACACTATCAAAATTCAGAATGTCTACAAATCAGAGACGCGCGTTTAGCGAGCTTTGATTGGTCGGTTGGCTGGTGAAGTATAGAAACATGTTTGGCCAATAGAGGTGTATCAGGCACACAACAGTGAGAGTAGAAGAATAGAAGTAATTTCATGCTCTTATTTCAAAAACATCTACGAAAGATACAACATGTTACATTGATACCGATTCACACGGGCAAATGACAAGTGAAAACTTGTCTTTTGTGACAATTTATTACAATTAATGAGAATGCGTTTTTTTTCAGGTACGAGACTCTGAAAATTACAAAACCAATTATAGTACGAAAGATTTTATTTGTATGTAATTTGTGTTACTAATAATAAATATTATTCATGTTAAATAAAAAAGAATTCATATTGGTATTAACTACAATGTGTTGATTTGCATTCTCGCCATATTTACAGAGGTCATTCTATACCCGAAACTGAACCCAAATCACTAAAAAAATAACTCGAAAAAAAAATTAAATTCCAATTCTGACGTCCCATATAATTCTATTCTAGTCTGTCACGAAACGCCACGTGGTTTGGTTTAGTGTGTAAACAATAGTAGTGCAAAAAAAAAGAACCGCTACCAGGTTCAACAGACCCTGCGTGGTAATCCAAGTGTGTGCCTATTCTTAAGGCATGATGAAACGTTTGGTTTACGCGGAGGATACGAGTGTCTAAGTTTCTGCTTTCAAAGTTGTGCAGTCTAATGTTGAAACGAAACTCACGGGGGAATCTCTGTTTTTAAAGCTAGGCACTTCTAGCAATACTTTCATGTAACCTAAAGTTGGTAAATACCAAATCTAAGTTACAAAAAACTTTTTTCAGTCAAATTTTCTAATTAATGTAAATAAGTACTAAATTATAACAATACTAGTACATTATCATAATTTAAATAATAGGTAAATAAGCCATCGAGAAATATTACGTACGCTCGGTGCAGCGGGTGGCGGGGTTACTGCCCTTGCGTGGTGCACACAACTTCGAGACAATTTTGCAAAACTTTACTTGATACAATTAGCCAGAACATTGAACAGAATAATTTTTTAAATATTTTTAGATGATTTAGCATTATTTCTATGTTTAACTTCTTAAATATGGCTAGAATGCATATCAACACACTGTATAGATCATATGTCATTTTAGTTCCGTCGTTTAAATATTGCGATGGAAGTAATGCAATAGTCATTAATGGACTGCAGGCGTAGCATGGGCACAAAGACAAAAGATATTCCTTTTAATAAAAAATATCTATGAGCTGTCAATTTAGTCTTAAAAATGACGTCACAAGTGTTATCTCTTACAGCGGTAACACACAGGGACTTATGCATGGATGCAGTTGCTTATGTTGAAGCTTTAAAAACGTGCATCGCGATTGTATATTAAGGTTAGTATTGGGTCATGGGAAAAATTCCATTTTGAAAAAATCATATTTTTCCGGATATTTTCCAATATTTTTCCTTTAATTTTCCTCATTTGACGTTGACACCAGTCAAAAGTTGAAGTTACTGAACGAAAACTATGGAGCCTTTAAAAAGGTTTCTTTTTCGCTGTTGTGAAATCATTTTACATTCCGTTTTTCTCCTAAGTGACATTACTTTTTAACTATACAAGTTTATTATAAAATTCACACTAAATAACGCTTCAAACGATATTTCTAAACATAGAACATAATGAGACTTCGAAATTATATTTTTCCACTTTCTCAAATTTTTCCATTTTTCTGGAATTATTCCGGAAAAATTTCTATTCTTTGAAATTTTTGGGAAAATTACCCAAGAGTAATAAAAGTTGACAATTAGCGACAGCATGGCGACTGAATCTCTGCAAACGCGCTGCTCAAAATCGCCGTGCTAACCGCTCTAAAGGCGCCATAGTCAAAAGACTATTTCTCTACTCTCCTGGGTTTTGTCTATTTGCGTTAATGCTGAGCCTGCTGGTCTAGATTTGCGAAGTTTTTTTTTTCTTTAATATATCCTTAACATTCGGTAATATCAAACAAACACGAGATAAATAAATAAGGCTGATACTCCAGGTTTTTTTTAAAGTCGATTTAAAACGGAAAAATTGCAAACCAGGTAGATTGAAAAGACTATCCTACCTTGATCCTGGAGACTGCTTCCTCTGCCTGCAGCATCCTCGTGGCTTTGGTCGGTTGTCCCTCGCACGCGAGTTGTGTGGAGCCGAGATACCGCGCGCGGAATAAAACTCCCTCGATCAGAACTGAACGTATATCTGCAAGTAACGTTTGCAGTATAGGTTATTTGAGATTATGTTGTTGATCCTACTTCGTTAGCTAAGCGTACAAATGCAATCTCTCGTTTCGCTAACTGTCGTATTCGATATTTTTGTCGCAACTTAGCAGCAGTTCCAAAACAATTTTGTTTGCAAAAGGAAATTGTAGTTCCGATTTCGAAGGGTAAGGGTGCTGGTGAAATCACAGGCACATGGGACTTGTCAACTTACGTCTCAGGGTGACGGGCGCTGTGGTAGCGCCCCTAAGATCTTTGCGATTTAAAGCTCTGAGTGGCACTGCAACTGTCATGGCTTTCGTTTAGATAGCTTACTATCAGGCGCACGACTTGTTCGTCCCGTCACTTGATATTATAATAATAAAGATGGCCGTTTCTGACCGCATTTGCCTGCACGCAATAAGAACTCTTAAGGTGGTAATGCAACGATTTTGGTGATAGTACCTACTTACTCAAATTCAAATAATCTTTACTTCATAGGCTAGGAAATTACACTTGAAATCGTCATTCGTAAGGCAAATTCCCCTGAGAAGAATGACTAAGAAACTCTAGGGGTTGCTCTTTGTAAATAAACATTTGTACCCAATTTTCATTTACAACATTTCGACTAATCCGTAGAACAAAGGCCTATATGCAAGAGTCTTGACTTGAAATAAATCTCAAATACCATAGATCTAGACACTCTGTAAGAGCTAAACGGGTCGCTACCATAGATTTTTGGCATCCAAGCAAGCAGAAGCTGTTATAATGTTTAGTGTAAAGTTTTTGTTTCACTATTGTTTTAAACGTCGTGAATGTTTCAAAGTCGGTTTCAAACCTTTTCTTTAAATATGGATACAAACTTATTGTCTTATTGTATCTTATATTATTATCCATTTTTAAAGTTCCAATCCAAAAATACGTTGTTCCAAAAAAAATAAAAAGTTTGTACTAGTAGTCAGTTACTCTGTAGAGAGATGATTAATATGTAACAGCTGTATTTTTATCGCGATTTCACACAGGTCACCAATTTTTGGTTCCACGTTCTCTCAACGACGACAGCTAACAAAGTAGGACCTGAATAAAGTTTGGATTACGTTGTTGTGTAGCACTCAAATTATATTGTGTCTGTATTTTTGTTTTTGGTATTTGGCGTGTATTCGTAATACACTTCCGGACACATAATTCCACCCACCTAGTATTTTAACTCTTAAAAAAGTTGAATATAAAAATATTGTCATCATCGACGAAAAAGTTTTCTCCGGTTTTACAAAACTCAGCATGGACTTGTTGATATTACGTTTAGTATACCAGTTTCAAATTGCATGATAGTTTTTGATCAGTTAAATATTGTTTGGCTTATTTAATTATTCACGGAAAACCAACGGAAACAATTATAGATTTCCATTTATTTTTATTATAATATTATTAGATATTACTACATTAACTTTTACAAAAAATTGACCTTAGAGTTCCCTCTCGGATCACCTTGCGCTCTAAAGCTACTTTCTGTTGTAAATTTCATAGGACAAACTCCCATAGAAATGGTCTCCTTAGGCGCTCTTTGGATTTTTATAATGAAAATTTAAGCCATATAGACATATTTGGGATTTCTTCACAAGGTTATAGGGTAAGAGTAAGAGAAGCTTTATTTTAACAACAAACGTAGTGATAAAATTATTTAGCATTAAATGTTTTAATTTTGTATTCCTATTATTGTTTTTTTAGTGTAATTGTATATGTATATTAAGTAGCATAAGTTTTTAATTTTTCTTATTTTTTTTATATATTCTTCTTCTATTTTGCTTGTGATGTGTTTCGCTCATTATCTTATTTTAGTTTTTGTTAATCGAACTCTAGGTTTGTATGTGCACCAATTTTAGTTTATTATCTGTCTGTTCTGCCGCCGTAAATTGAAAGGACGCATGTGACATTAAAAAAAAAATCATAACAATGTTTTTATACTCTCGTGATCAGTAAAAAAGCCCGATCTGTCACTATTTTTATTTTTTCCTGGTGGATAATGTGTGAAGTTGCCGCAAAAGAAAAGTAGATATATTTTTATTTCGAATAGATTATTTAGATTTTTTTTTATTTAGATTTATTTAGATATTTCATATATTTAAATATTATTTTTCGGTTTTGAGTTTTTGTCACAAGCGCCCTTTCAACTAACGGCGGCGTGTTGATGACTGTTTGTTTCCTTAAATAAAAATATAAAATAAAAAATAAATATTAAAAAGTTTTCGGCGAATATTTAGAAGCATGTACTTATGGCATAGAATACTGCAAATGCAAAGTGGCCCGAAGTATATTACTTTATGGTAACGATAGAAACATTACAGAAAAAAAAATTAGAGAAATAAACTCCGTACTTCCTGTTTCATTGAAAATGGAAACTTACCGAGTAATTACATTCCGAATAAGCGGCATAAGGAAATGACAAAAATACCTGTTATTAAAATTGTTTCCCTTCGTTTAGACAAAAATATTAGTAGAGTAACAATAATATGACTACTGTTTTTATATTTAAACTTACCTTCTTTATTCTTATTTTTCTTTTTTATTTCTTTATCCTGAAACAAAATGATGAATTACAATTAAAATTTTTTCTTAACTATCAATATTATTAACTAACAGTGAATGTGTTAAAAAATATGTTTTTACTACAACTGATAATATAAATAAATAAATAACGCACGCACTTATAGTCTCGCACTAAGGAAACACTATATCGCGGGTGCCATGGACACACACATAGACAACCACAAAGTACACCCAAACGCACGAGAGAAATAAATGTAGGCCGTACAAATATTTATCCCGGCCCAGGAATTGAACCCGGGAGCTCTGCGCGGCAGTCCAACATGGTAACTGTTCGACCACGGATGCAGTTTTATATAGCATCGACCTTCGGCTACTTTCGAATCGTCACCTGTTTGTTATCATAGCTTTTTGTCCCAAATACAAGAAGAAGGGAGTTACAAGTTTGAAGCTCGTCTGTTATTTGTGTGTATGTGGCATCGTATCTCGCAAATGCATGGACCGATCTCAAAGCGGTTTCTTTTATTTACACATTTTTATTATTGCTATTATTTCGACAGCACAAACCCGGGCAATAAACCATAATTCACTCAAAATAGCACAAAGAAGCACACGTTCTTAAGAGAGCGTTGACGCATTACAAAGGTTGGTTATGATAGATATATCATGACAGGGGAACATCCACTTCACACTACCACTAGTTTGTTATTCCGTGATTTGAAGGCTTATTTATATATTTATATAATCGGAATGGTTCTTAGCAAGTTCAGCTGTTTAAAAATCATAAGCTATTTTCCCAGTTAGTGTAGGGATGTGGGTTATAAAATGAATGATTTATTTTACTTCCGCTTGTCCGATCGACTCGAAATTTCATCGCATCGGTCGATCAATTTACAATAATATGGTAACTTTGAATGATGCTGTAACTAGAACTGACTGCAGACCGCCCAACTCAATTGCCCCCAAACACGAGTTCTATTATAAGTTTACAGTAGAACTCATGCTTGGGCTTATTTAAATTGGTCTCGAATAGTCTTTTTGGAGTATACTGTGTTGTATCAGGGGTTATTTTAATTTAAGTATTATTGAGTCATACGTAAGTAATACAATGACATTGATTTCTTTTTCAGTGACGTGGCCTCGGATAGTTAGGTTTCAAAAGATAATATTAAAGAAATATTAAACATTTAAGTATTGTTTTTAAAATATCAGTCAGGCAGGCAGGCAGGCGAAGTAGTCTGCCGACCTTCGGCAGACTAGTTCGCCTGTCGACGGCGACGCACTCGACTTGCCATTTACACCAAAGCGTTCGGCTGCATTACCGTCGTCAGACGACTCTTATTTACACCGGGTAGCTTCTCGTCTGACGACTTGGTGTAAATGCGCCATAAAATCTTTTGAACACCTGACCTAACATATTGCGCTTATTTTATTTCATAGTAATTATAATGAGGTAAATTATTGGGTCTAAAAATATCTGTAAATTCCACCCTGTGCTTGATTACATTTCATGCGGTCTCAGTTTTTAAACTACACAATGTTAATATAATTATAATTATTATGTTTTATTAGTATTAGGTTACGATTAATTAGCCTGCATGATTAGTGATTACATACTCACCACTGCATGAAAATTACATAAAAAGTATAAGTAAGTGATTATCACTAATATCAGGTTTCTTACCACGGTATGACTTCTTTTTATTTTCCTAATGTTTCGGAACGGTTGCACGCTCCATGGTCACGGATTGACTGGACGGCGACAGATGACAGCTTTAAGAGCAGACATATCTGTCTACACTCTTGCGCTGTCGACGACTACCTTCATCGCGATTTGTTGTGGCGTTACCATTGTCACTCACTTTTTTCACACAAACCAAATAAAAAGAAAAGAAAAGAAAAAGAAGTCTTACCGTGGTAAGAAACCTGATATTAGTGATAATCATTTAGTGAATAACCACGAAAGTCTTAAAATCTATATAGTATAAGAAGATTTAAACTCTGATAATAAAAACAGAAATGAAAAGATTATTTAATCGCGTTTATTCCCGTTCAAAGTCATACAGCTACATAAAACGCTTCTTTTGTACGGATAATCATTATGTACTAATTAGCGAAAGAAAGAATTTTATTAAGAAGTTATTTTCTGTTGAAACTAGAGTACAGTGCTGTTTTGAAGGCTTATATTCTAGAAAAAAAAAAATTCTGTAAGTGAAATTGCATTTGAACAAAAATAACATTGTATACGTACCTTCCCATTGTGCAACGTATCTTCATCGCGTGCGTCGCTTGCGTCCAGTGTGAGCGGTGGGGAGCGCGCCGCTCCCGACGAACTGCCCGCCGGCATTACCGTACGCGATTTCGGTTTACGCCAACCCTGAATGTGATTTTTTTACATAATTATCAAAAGACAAGTGCAATGTGATGACGCATTTTGTGTAACATTTATGCAATTTTTCTCTTTTGTAACTTAACTCTTAAAGAATCCCGAGGCAACTTAGTCAAAACTAGATATCCTAAAAACACGCGGAAAAAAAAATAGAAATACGGCGATGTTTGTATTAGCACCTAAACTATTTAATAAATTATTTGACTTTTTTATGATACGAAGTGACGGGACCAGCAACTCGTGCGCCTGGTAACAAGCGACACGCTATTCAGAGCTTTATATCGCAAAGATCTGAGTGGCACTGCCACTGCACCCGACACACTGAGACATAAGTTGACAAGTCCCACGTGCCTGTAATTTCACCAGCACCCTTACCCTTCAAAACCGGAACGCAATAATCCTCACATTACTGCTTGGCGGCAAAAATTGGTAAATCGGCAAGTACTTCCTCGTACCTTGTACGAACTCTTCGACAAGGAGCTCTACTGCTACTAACGTTGCAAAAATTAAATTTTAGACAACGTAAAATGAAATTTTGATTAAATCCTAATTGTCATTGTGTGTCTTCATACTATTAAATTGACTTTAATAGCATGCTATATCAAAAGTAACTTGTAAAGAAATGTTCGCATGCCGTCATGATAAAATGTACGATCTAACATAATTAATATGTTATGAGATAAATAAAATCTATATATAATAACACCTTTGTAGTGATCTACATTTTTCAGCGAATAAATGTCCTGAACGCTTGCATTCTGTAATCAAATTTGTGTAATGAAAATGACGGATTTTTGTAACTACGCATGCGGAGCGTTCATAATTGAAACAAAAGTAAAAGGAAAAGATTGTCATCAAAATTGAGTACAAAAAACTTCATGAAAATTACTGATGAACTGCATTCGTCTTAATTTCTTTTTATAAATAACACGTTTAAGAATGGTTACACACGGTGACTATTGTAACATATTTGGCTCTTATGTAATATATTCGTTAGTTGTTTTTATTAATTTATTTTAACATATCGTTAAAGTATTTATTTATACCGAAAAAAAATCACGCCAGTAAATGTTTAAATGGAGCTTGTAGTCGATAAAAATTGCTATAGCGTTGTAAGAAGACTGATAAATTCAACTATTTGCAAGCTTCGCCTCTATAATAGAGTACAATCGAGAATAAATCATGCACTTTAGACCGTTATTATCGTATGCAGCATAAAATTAAAACGAAAGCTTAGGTGTCCAGCTCGACGTGCTCTTGAAAATGTACAACTTTTAAATAGTCCTTCGATTGAGTATTATATACAATGTTTGACATTTTTCACACTATTATGTGATGGTATTGTTTTAGTAGCCAGAGTAGCTTCATGTGACAGAGTTCGTCCAGGGAAGTATTGCCACCTTAGGTACCTATTTCTGCCGCTGCCGCCAAAGCAGTAATGTGAGCATTACGGCGTTTCGGTTGGGGGGGGGGGGGATGACATTACAGGTACACTGGAATTGTTACACACTGCAACTGTTATGGATAGGCGTGTCGCTTACCACCAGACGCACGATTCGTTCATCTCGTTACATGTTACAATAAAAAATAAAACTGTGTGTGTGTATGGATAGTATACATGAATATGGAATGTAATGTAACGTATTAACCGACAGAAACGCGAAAATTAAAATTTAAATAACAAATTATAGCTTGCTGTCTCGTCAAAGTAAGTCATTTGAAACCTCCCAGTATTTAAAAAAAATATATATGATTTGAATCCAGCCTGATCTTTTTATTAATAATGTAATTTTTTTTGTATAATGTTAAAAACAGTTGACATAAACTAATTGACCAAACCACGAAAAAAATCGTTAGACGCCATTCGCCAAACTATGATCATATTCGTTGACACGAAATTGCTTATCAGTATCCTATCCTTGTTAATACACATGTTTATTCTACGCACCGAAGCACAAGATGTTTTCTACTAAGTTATTTATGTTAAATATAAGTCGCGTAATTTAATACCATTCTTGTTTCTTTAGGCACCCAGTATTAGTGCACTAGAACTCGTACGAAGGTATAATTAACCACTTGTTCTAATTAAATTGCCCTTTGTTAACCTACGCATTATTACAATGAGCCTCTGTTATATCAACATCAAATAGTAGACAGAGTAGACATAACACATGTACTGCTTGAGTATAATTATTCACATTAAGAACAAGTTTTGTTTCTTTCTTTAGTTCGTAGTTTAATCAATATACAGACAGGAAGTAAGAAATAGGTAACAACCACACTGATAGCAAACTAGTTATATAAAAAAAGAAACTTGGAATACGCGAAAAAGAATGATGGGTAAATTTCTATGAAATTTGGGCGCAAAACCTACAGTGATGTAACTAGAACTGGGATTCGATATTATGATCATATTTTCAATAGCAATACTATCAATATCAACTTCACGAGGGTCGTTTTATTGTTAAATGAATATTAATATTCTTTATTTGCAAGTTTCATTGTTATATAACAGGTGTTCTTATGCTAATGGCATTTGACATGTAACACCCCGTGTACCCAATAATCCTCTACATTATTAAAATAAAATTAGCACCCCTATGTTGTGGATATTCCCAGGATTCGCATGAACCGTTTCGCTTCCAAATTTATGTGGCGAGCGGCTAGAGAGTGGAATACCCTACCTGCGGACTTGTTCCTCGAACGCTATAACTTGGACCTTTTGAAGGTGTGAGTGAATAGGCATTATTTAGGTGAGCTTGCTACATCGCTAACCTCATCATCACTTTCCATCAGGTGAGATGGAGGTCAAACGCGCACTTATTTTAGGGCAATGTATACGCTTCTATAACAAGATTACGGTTGATATACAAAATTTGCCTTTCACGAGGTTTAAAACTATAGTGAAACAAAAACTTTATACTAAAGGTTATTATACAATTTCTGCGTACTTGGATGACAAAAATCCGTGGTAGTACCCGTTTAGCTCATGGAGGTAGTCTCGATCTCTGTTTCAATTAAAAATAAATATATATCGTAAATGTTGAATGTGTACAAATGTTATTTACAAAGAGCAACCCCTAGAGAACCCCTAGAGTTTCTTGCTCATTCTTCTCAGGGGAATCTGCCTCACGAATGAGCGGTAGAGTTTAACCATTGTGACGATTTCAAGTGTAATAATGCTTACCTATGAAACAAAGTTTTTTTTTTAATTTGAATTTATAAAAAAAACCCTTTTACGTATTTTTGATACACTTATTGTGATACAATATTCTGTCAACATGTCAATCTTTTATGATTACTCGCGGTTTAATAGATACGTGACTATAAGTTTATAAAAACTTTTTCCGCAATTTAAGTGCGGTGATATTTATGTATGTATTATTTATGCCCTCGTAAATGATATACGGAGAGACGAATGGCTCATGTCGACTTAACCTGAATAACCATCAGAAACGACACGAGCACAGGTTCTTAAATTAATTGACACCCATTGTATTGTTATGTATTAATAATAAGCTACGTTGCGGATTGTCATTAGTAATTCATTAAGTTTTTGAATTACATAAGTTGTTTTTGTCGCAATAAGCTTTCTTTTTAACCGACTTCCAAAACGATGAGGTTCTCAATTCAACTGCATGTTTTTTTTTGTATGTATGTTACGCGATAATTCCGGTAACTTGTCAACAGATTGTAATGATTCGTTTTTTTATTGGAAACAGGATACCTCAGACGTGGTCCCATTTAAATTTGAAGAAAATATTCCACCTTATGGCTCAACTCACACTAGCGCAGTCAAAGCGTCGCGACGCGTCATGTTTTTCGCTTATAGCATATTCATCTCTATTTTCCCATAATTAAGGTACAAATTTGTGTTATGCAAATATGGAGTCGCGCGCCAACGCTTGGTTGCAGTCAGGCGGCTTCACGCGTCGACGCGCGTTACTTGAGCGCAGTGAGGCGTCAGACGCCGACCACACTGATCCAGGTGTACTAATCCACAGTGATTCAGGCGCACTAATCCACAGTGATCCAGGTGCACTAATGCGGGTGTCGTCGCGCGTCGCCAGGCGTTGTAGTTGAAAAACAGGTCGCGACGCTTCGACTCTGCGCCAATGTAAGTCGAGCCTTAAGGGTGGCAAACTAGGGGATGAATGACTTGCTTTGACAAGTGACGGGATGATTAAGTCGTGCGCCTGGTGGTAAACGACACGCCTGTCCATAACAGTTATAGTGACACTCAGAGCTTTAAATCCCCTGCCAAGCCACTGCCAGCGATACCGCGCGCGCGGACTCAGCTGCTGCCAGAAATTGTAATTAACTATATTAATAATTGTAATTTTTTAAGTTTTTATTGAATGTTACGATGTTTCACCATAACAAACAATTATTTTTAGTTCGTTATAAGTATTAATACAAAGATAGAACATTAGAAAAAAAATCCTTCGAACCAACGTTTTCTATAAACCGATGACGACTCACAAATGGCTCTAAGGCAAAAAAGTCGTTAAAAACCATTGGTGGTTATATATATATGTATGTAAAAAGATCTTCTGCAACAAGCACATAGAGAAATTTTTAAGGTCCGTTGGTTCGTTCCGTGGTTTTATTGGCATACCGTCTGGCACGGCTTGCTAGAAGACGCTGGTTCGAAACCTATATATCAAGGATTTTTTTTCTTAGTGTTCTTAGTCTTCTTAGCGATCTTTGTATATTTGTTATTGTTTATATTAGTGTCGATCAAAATTATCCTTTGATAATGCATCTTAAATTGTAACATTATGGCGTCGATTAAATAAAATAAGCTATTCTATTAAATACAATAGTAAAATATGATCGAACCCATTTGCTTATATTAAACACAATCTCATTAATTTTAATATTATGTTAATCTATTTTTTATTTACCAACCTCTTCATTTCTCGAATTTTCTTTGGTATCCTCAATTTCAGAAGTTGCATCACTCTCAATATTTTTAGATACAGAACTTTCTCCATAATTATCATTCTCTACATTTTCACACGTTGGCATATTAGATTCAGACTTACTGCAACTACTTTCTATCTCAACAACTTTAGGTTCAGAACTTTCTCTATAATTATTATTATCAGTGTCGTTCTCTAGATTTTCACAAGTTGGCGCTTTAGATTCAGACTTATTGCAACTATTTTCAATCTCAACAACTTTAGGTAACGAACTTTCTCTATAATTATTATTATCAGTGTCATTCCTTACATTTTCACACTTTGGCACATAAGATTCAGCCTCATTGCAACTATTTTTATTATTTAGAGCTTCTTTTTGAATTTGACTACAATTATCCTCAACACTTAAAGTTTTCTCAGTAATGTTCGACGTATCATGAAATTGATTATTTTCATTGTCTTTGGATAAAGATTGAAATCTTGAGTCGTGATGGTCATTTGTTTTAACATTTACTTCCTCCGCACTGCATTCAACATAAACTTTGCCAATGTTTACGTCCGCTACATTATCGATGTTGTTAAGACTATCAATAGAACTATTACTTATTGATGAGGTTGGTGTTAAACATGGCTCCTTTTCTTCTACACTCATTTTGGAAACATTTATTTATTATTTTAACTTTTATTTTATTTTATTTTAATTATTTTATTTAATTTTTAAAATGAATTGCTGTGTAATAAGGTAGTATCAGTATTGTATTATTTTTTTAATTATAATGATATTATGTTCACACTAGCAACACTTGCCACAATAAAAATTAAAATTTTCCGCTTAAACAAAGCACATCGACGAAAATTACGCATTTTAGCTACACTCAATTCCGGCCCTAAAGAGCCACATACAGTGACTTTTATGAATAAATTGGGTACATTTAAGCCTGTTTATCGGCAACGTGGGACGAATGCTACTGTACGTCAATACACGATATCGCGATAAGCTATCAGACGTCGTAACCGCGCGGTTCGTGGGTGTAGTGACCGAATACTGACTGGCTACAATGCATGGTGAGTAAACAGATGGTCGTCCAAAGAGTAAGCAAAATTATTGGACTTGAATTTGTACCTATTGACTACGCAATCGAAAAGATTATTTCTGTAGGTGAGAGGTAAGGAATCTTAAATTCATATTTTGGAATTTAGATGTTTTGAAAATCATTAAGATCTATCGTCATTTGTTTTTATTTGATATATTTAATTTAACATTAATTTTTTTTTGTTAATTTTAAATGTCCAATTAAGAGCCTCGTTCTCTTTAAAACGCTCTGTAGTAAAAATTACTATTTGGCACTCAAGGTTCTTCACCTCTCACTTACAGATTTATTTTAATTTTATGTTAATTTATCCTTTTAGATCAGGTATGTTCTTAACCATTGCGGCTTATAGTTGACGATCAGGGAGGGCTATATATTCCACAGCCCTATTTGACATGTTTGTTTTATTATTAATTTGACTTTCTTTTTTTTTCCTTGTACTATAATCAAGTAGTCTATTATATAAACAGTATTCGAGATAAAAATATGAATTCTAAAAAAGAATGTGTCTTGTTAGTTTTTGTTACTAATAAAAACTAAACAACGAAATGACCTTGAAAGACGTAACATGGTGATTTTCATGTTAGTTTTCTCTGCCTAGTTTCTGTGGCAATTTTTATTATTTAAATATTCTAGAATATTACCATGAAGTATTTTATTTAATATTCGAGTGTAATATTTCACGCTAATATATTCGAATACGTCATTAATGAAAATCGACACCGAAATCAAGTAGAGACAACTAATGTGAAAATTACCCAACAGATTTATTGCATCCGAGCGAACTAATAATCAAAGGTAGAAATAAAAGTTACGTAATTTACTAATGCTATGTCCGCGTATAATGGGAGTGCAAGGTCAGCTACGACTTGCGCTAGATGTTCATTTAGAGCGCGCTCGCTCTGCGGCCGCGCCGATTGCGTCATTTCCCATACTGACTATAACCATAAATCCTTGTGTTCGAAGTTTTAAAATTGCGTGTGTATATATATATATATATTATATATATAATTTTATTATTGTTATTCTGTGCTACACACTGGCCGTAAAATAAATTGTAAAATTATATACATATTATTTAAAAAGTAACAACTGGAATGTGTTTAAATTGTTTCCTTAATCTGAGCTATTTCGTTCACAACTTTGTTTAACCCAGACAAGTAGATTCATTGTTTATATTGCGCATGTGCGTAGAACAGAAATAGAGCTATAACATCGAGACCTATTTTATTTATAGCGTATTGAATAATTATAAAAGAATTTATAAAGCTTTTGTTTTGTGCAACCATTTACAGTTAAATGCTAAAATATGTTACTATCGATTTCAAATCTTTATCAAAGATTATTATGGTCAAAGAAATAAAACGGGAATAAAGTACTCGTATATCTAGATCAGTAGCTTAGGTAACGCTCGCTGTATATAAATACATGATGTTCCTAACTATATGTGCCAGCCTTTATTATATCAATTTTTGCAACTTGTTAATATTGTTCTTAAAATAAATACCATATAAATCGAATACGGTAACTAAATATTAATCTTTTATATATTAATTATTAGAACTTCACATTCTACATGAAACGTAAAAGTATTGTTAAATACAGGTAGTATAATATTCTGTGTTACAACGCCTATACGTATAATACAGACTATGTTTAAGTTCAAGTAATAAACATATGTATAGTGCATAATACCTGCCTCTTAAATACCGCAATGATTACAAATAATGGCACCAAACAAAATACTCGTATTTTTACTTTTAATTACAAAACTTTTATTATCGTGGAAATATTAAAAGGAGTGCTAAAAAGGTTGAGTTATGATAACAATGTTCTTATAAATCACAGGCTACATATACCATTATAATATGGCCACATAATAATCGAAAACAAAAGACGATTGAAGCCATCCTTTTTAAACTAAACGTTGGTAACTGGGGCCGGAGTTGCTCTATATACTAATATATCCATGAGTATAGATTATTATTGTTATTTTTGAAGCAAAAAATGTTAACAGACGTAAGATCTAAAGACCCACAAACCAGGGGATCCTAGTTTGGTAGCTAGACACAACTTTTTTTTTACAGAGCCCCGCAGGAAGGAGGAAAACCATGTGTCACTGGTGCCATGGACACGCATAGACAACTACAAATTACATTCAAACCCACGAGAGAAGTAAAAATCGGCCATACAAATATTTCTCACGGCCCGGGAATCGAACCCGGTACCTCTGCGTTCAATCACGGAGGCAGGTAATTTAAAATCACAATTCTTGGCGCGTTCCCATTATGTCGTGGCGAGAGACAGTCGTGCAGTTTAAAACGTCGTGGCTTGTATATTTAAATGAAGTTGTTTACATAATATAGTACAACACGACTAACTGTCGTTCACGACTTGACGACAGACTGTTAAGACGATGGGAAGAGCTAGAACGACTATCGTCTGACGATAAACAAAACCTTACGACATAATGGGAACGCGCTCTAACAGTAAATCTAGGGTCGGCGGACTAAAGCACATAAGTGAAAAATCCAACATCATTCATTTAAATTAATACATCTACCGGCTAAAGCACATAAGTCAAATTCATTTGTTACTCCATAAATTTGGAACTTTATTCCAGGTGTCTTTTTCAAATTTATAATTCTCTTTGCACCTTCTAACACTATAAACAATGCGAAAAAATATATAATTATATATTAGCAAATGAAGCACTTTTTTGACTTATGTGCTTTAGTCCGCCAAGCCTAGAAATAAGGCTCAATGTAAATAGGTGTTACACACACCAAATAAATAAAAAAAAGAAAAAAACTTACCTTGTCATCGAAAAACCCTTGGTCGTCAGTCCTCTGCTGGCCGAGCAGTCTATCAGTCTCTAGGTCTGTGTCCGCTTCGTCTGAAATTCGTAATGAAATAATGTTTTAGTTATGCAGAATTGTTCCTGAAACTAATAAGGACTACTCAGGACTCAATAGCTAGGAAAGGCTTGCTTTCTCATTAGAAACCTGCCCACAAAAGGTTTTTGAAATTCGAACTTGACGACTGTCGATGAAAAAAAAAGATAATGACACGTTCAACTACACGATTTTTCGAACATTAGTATATTTATGAATAAGTATATTTATGTAACATAAATCCGTTAGTATATTTTATTCTTATTACTGTTGACATTAAGTTGACAATGATAACTAATTGTGTTTATTAAATTATTTTAATTCGTCGAAAAACGAAAATATTTTCAATAATCACTTAATCACATAAAATAAAATTACAAGCAAGAATAAAAATTGAATATGTGTAATTTCAGAACGCATCCGAAGACAAACTTTTTCATATAATCATTGACTTACAATTATATGGACGTCGGATCCGCGCTAAAAAGTGTCCGAACTTATAGGGCGTTAAAATCGTATACAGAGCGTCATTCACGCTTTAGTCTTCGTTTGTGCGACTGACAGCGAAGCAAGCAAAATTAGACAGTACTGCGATGACATTGCAATTTAAATTCAACGTATTAGCTTTTTCATATTCCTTTACATGTCACTACGTTTAAATACTTTTTTTTGACTGTTGTTGGTTGACTTGGGACATATATTTCGTAGTTTTTGTATTAGACCCGTCGTCCATTTATTTGTAAGTCAATGTATATAATTATAAGAACTGATGTTTTATAGTTCAACTGTTTTTCTTTCATCTACCATTTTCCTCGCTATAGTGAGGTGAAAAGTTGTTTTGCGTCTCATGCCTTGAAACCCTCGCTACGCTCAGGAGTCTATTTTTGAACCACTCGCTTTGCTTGTGGTTCAATCTTAGCTTCCTTCGCTTGTTCAGGTTTCAAGACAAGCACGCGCGTCAAACAACAACTTTGCAGCCGTGCATAACAAATAACTATTCTGCGTGAACAACATTTCCATAGCTTACGATTTAAAAAAATTACTGATCACCATCGTGAAGTATTCACTGTTAATTCTTCTTTTTTAATTAGCGACATTTTTATTATTTATTTTTTATTATTATTATATATTTGTTTTATTATTTATTTGTTGAGCATTGGCAATAGAGCCATCAGCTTAAACAAGTAACTAATTAAGAATTTGTGAAGAAGCTGTAACAACAAAAGCCCGCCGTTTTCCCCAAAAGACGCGTCACTCTTTTGTTTATTACGTTTCGCTTTGCATAGACAATAAGTATAGACAATAAGTCAGAAAGAAGCGAATTGTATAAAAATGAGCAATATTTACGTTAGTATGTAAATAAGTTACTATTGTGCATTTCTTTACCTTCATCCCCACTCGCTTGTTTGATATCCACAGATTCTGTACTTTGACCTGATGACGGCCTTTTCCTGTAAAATGAAAATGTAAAGTTGGTTTTTCTGATATTTTCTGTAGAAAGAATTTTGTTTTATGATACCAAGTGACGGGACGAACAAGTCGTCCGCCTGTTGTTAAGCGACACGCCTGTCCACTGCAGTTACAGTGCCACTCAGAACTTTAATACATAAAGATCTGAGGGGCACTGCCACCACGCCCGTCACCCTAAAATATAAGTTGACAAATTCCATGTGCCTGTAATTTCATTATGTCACCAGCACCCTTACCCTTCAAACACTCGTTCACACAGAGCTCTAATGCTCAAACAATATAAAGCTACTAATCTTAGTAGGTCGAGTGACACAGTGTACAGGGTTAAGTGCACGTCAAACTTGACACTTAAGACTTAAATCCAATTCTATGCCGCTTACGATAAGAACGGTCCAAAGTACAAAGTGTCAAGCAAGTCGTACACAATCCAAATGATTCCAATTTTAGATTCAAAATTCCATTTATTTGCCACACACACACGCACACACTCACACACGCACATGCACGCACGCATGCGCGCGCGCGCGCACACACACATACACACACACACACACAAACATAAAACATACAAATGAAAAATGTAACATAAATAGTAACTAAAAATACAAAACTATATCTGTGGTCACAGAAGCAACGGTCTCACGTTTGCGTAACAAGTAATTTATGAAATAAAATTAGCACATACCATTGTGTGTGGAGTGTGGTGGTAACCTTCAGGAACATAAAGCACACTAACCTAGGAGGATAAACATCGTCGTGATGCGGCACGTGGGGAGGGTGGTGGTGGTGCGGCGTGTGTGCGGGGGGCGCGGCCGGCGTAGGCTCGGCGGGCGGTCGGTGCGGCGCGGGCGCCGGCGGCGGCGGAGGCACGGAGCTGCATGCCGCTGGAGCAATATCACATATGTTTAACACAACGTCGGTGTTTCGTAGACAGGGCGAAAGCGCCATTTTTGTTTTAGTTTTTCACGACTGTTTTAAAATATTTACGAAAACTTAAAATTAAATATAACCAAAATTCGAATTGAAAAAAGTTTCAAAAATTTGAAAACAGTCGTGAAAAACCAAAGCAAAAAATGGCGCCTTCGCCCTGTTTACAAAACACCGACGACAATAAAACTCAACACAGTCGACAATCTGCTACTGAACTGCCATATCACAACTGTACTCACAATCAATCCGTTTAGCCTTTACTCTTTACACACAACGTATTCACGGACGATATTATATTATAGAAAATTGCAGGCTATGACTATTTATTTCTGAGTGTATTGGAACTCGTCTTGATTTGATTTTTATCCCGAAGCAATTAAGTATAACTTCATATACACACAGTTTTCAGGAGTAACACTCGCGTTGATATTTCATATCAGTTAATGTAGATGATTTGATTTATACAGTATACAGTGATGTAAATGATTTTACACAGTATACCTTCCGATTCCATGATCTAATGCTATCGTATAGTCAGTCATTCAAAACCTCATCGCGGGCTTGGTGGTAAAACCAGTTACTTGAAAAATTTGAAATTTTAAGTATACGATTAATTGAATAAGGTGCCCTGTTTATTATGTTTGAAAATGATTAAAAATGAAGATATTTATCAGGTGACGTCTGAAAACCAGCAAATTCCTGAGGCTTTTCTTATATGAGACGCAAAAGGTAGTTTAGTAGCAGTAGAGCTCCTTGTGAAAGAGTTGGTCAAGGGAAGTACTGCCTCCTTACTTATTTCTTTAGAATACGTTTATTTGCCAGAATACAGTAATGATAAAGGTCTTAAATAAAATAAGATTGTATACAACCTGCAAGCAGATGTGCAAATATTAATTACATGTTCGGTTTCTACTGTTAATTGCTCTTCAAATTAATGTAAATTTGTATTTGAAAATTCTAAGTATTCTTTATTACTATAGAAGCAATGTGTCAAAAGCCATTTTGTCAATTGTAATTTAAAGGTATGTCCCTGTAACAATTTAATTTCATTTGGCTAATTGTTGAAAATAATTATACACATATCCCTAATGTACCTACATACATGCATGGCAAAGGCAGTATATGTTTAGTTTTTTGAACAACGGCTTACAGCTGTTGTCGAACCACGCACCGCAGATCGCCCGAACATTATCTACGACTACTGAATATAAAAAATAAAATAGTAATAATAATAATAAATAAATAAAATATCGTAGTATCACAGTAATTGTACAATGCTAGGTGTATTGAAATTGAACGTGGAATTGATTCCATGTTCGATTTTTAACACCGCGAACTATTGATATCGTTTATTTGAATGTATTGTTTCACAGCGCTGTAATTCACTTCGTTGAGCTTCTTAAAATAATTAATAACTCTGAGGTTCCGAAGTATTGAATGTTTTGCAATATTTACTTTATTGAATATCATAATGTTTTTATTACAATTATATTCATATATTTTTTGTGTAAATACTCTATAGTTTGTTGTTATTATTAATACAAAAATCGAACAAACAGAAACAGAAAAATTCCGTCGATCCGGCTGGATTCTAACCAGCGACTTTTTTGCCAAACCGGGGCTAATAAGATCTCCAATGATTTCTCACGTTTTTTAAATGACTCCATAAGTAGGGTGAGGTTATCAATTCTACTGTATTCTTTCGTGTGTATGTACTTGTAGACCGTTTCGGTGATTATTTTTTAGTTAGAAAGGGGGTACTTCGGTTAGTGGTCCATACAAATTTTAAGAAAATAGTCTACCTCTAAAGGTGGCAAATTAGGGGTTGAATCCGGTTTATTGGATTTAACTCATTTTCCGTCGCCGATTTCAATAAAACTTGGCAAATAGATGTAATTCCACAAATTTTTGAGGTAGGTTTATAAAAAAAATAATGTAAAGTAGGCGCAAACCAGATGATCGTAGTCGCCCAGGACTAATCCAATAATTCGGAATATTAAACACCTATCTATTAATATTTTTTTCACCTCACTAGCTCCGAAAGGCTTTCTTTTTTATTACAAAGCGGCACGCATAAGCGTTTTTTGCACGCTAGCGGGGAAAAGGTGTTTGAAATTCGAACTTGACGATGGACAGTGGTGCATCTAACTTTTTCTTTCGATGAAAAACAAAGATAATGCACTTTCAATTAAGCGATTTCTCGTACATTACTTATTTATTTAACATAAATCCGTTGGTATATTTTATTCTTATTATTGTTGACATTAAGTTGCTACATTACATTAAGTTTATTAAATTATTTCAATTTGTTGAAGAACTAAAATAATTTCAATACTCACTTAATCACACAAAATACAAGTACGAGCAAGAATAAAAGATTGTGGAGGTGTAAATTCAGAACGCATCCGAAGATAAACTTTTTCTTTTTATTAAAAAAGGTTTTACAGTTCAACTGTTTTTCTTTCATCTACCATTTCTCTCGCTATAATGAGGTGAAAAGTTGCATGTTTCGTTCGGCAGCAAAGTTGTTTTGCGTTTCGTGCTTTGAAACCGTCGCTACGCTCAGGAATCTATATTTGAATCTAAGGGTCGTATTCTAGAACACTACTCAATGCTTAAGTCAGGACTTGAGTAAGATTCAAAGCACTAGAAATCATACTCAAGTCCCTGCCGTTAGGGTCGTATTTCCAGTGCTTGTGTTGCCAGTGCAATCCTGACTTGAGCATTGAATAAAGTTCTAGAATACGACCCTTAGTTTCCTTCGCTTGCTCAGGTTTCAATACAAGCACTGGCGTAAACAATAACTTTGCAGCCTTGCATAACAAATACTTTACTTACCCAGTGGATCCAGGGAATGTAAATCAGCGTCCGACAATACGTGAGGATCTGCGCTCGTCCCGTTCTCTATGATTTCTTCAATTATTACCGACGTGTGTGCCTGAAAATTATTTTACGCGAAGATTATTTTACACATATTATGTATGACTTGTAGGTCATAAAAATTGAAATGTTAATTAGCTACTAATATTGTTTTATTCCTTCCGACTTATTTGCTCGATTTCATTTCAATAACTATATACACTCCACAGAAGTGTCTAGCTAGGAATCAAGCACGTTTTTGATGATTACTGAAAACCTTTTTATAATTTGAATTTGAAAATTAAATTGACCAAAACAAAACCCATTGGTGTTAAAAAATTTATTAAAAAAAAACCTGATTTTCAATAATTTACAAAATCGATTCCTATACACTTTTGATGTGTGTATTCCGATTTGGCAAGACTTGTATTGCATTTGATTGGCTGTTGTATCGGATGTGTCACGTTTAGAGGCTCGCGATTGGTTGATATAAAAAACTAAAGTCTGTTCCAATCCATTATGCCAGAAAAGTAAATAAACCGGTTTGGTGAAAATTGTAAAGCAATCACTCAATAAATGGAATAAGTAACACTTACATGTATATGTTGAACATTTCGACTTGATATCTCACCACTTAGAATAATAACGCATAGAATGATAGTTTCATATCAAACGAACTGTCACAAGTGAGGCAAAAACCAAATTCATGTAGGCGTAAGCAACTTGTAACTACGGTCGTCGGCACGCACACAAATATACAAATAATGATGCCATGGAATAACATTTCCCTCAAAAGTGGGGAAATTGTATCTTGCTTAACTCATCATTAAGTTAAAGGTGCCTACAGATTTGCCCGACATTGTCGATCAGGTGCCTACAGATGTGCTCGGTTTTGTCGATGAAAAACGAATATAGCACTTATTTGTAAATCCAAGATGGCGGACACGATTTTTCAAAATATGCTATATGGGTATCCTTTTCGAGGTATTTGGGGATGCTCATTACGAATATGGCACTCATTTCTAAATCCAAGATGGCGGACACGAGTTTTGAAATAAATGCAATATGGGTATCATTTTCGAGGTACTTGGGGGTGCTCATGACGAATATGGCACTCATTTTTACATCCAAGATGGCGGGCACGATTTTTCAAAAAAATGCAATATGGGTATCATTTTCGAGGTACTTGGGGGTGCTCATTACGAATATGGCACTCATTTCTAAATCCAAGATGGCGGGCACGATTTTTTCAAAAAAATGCAATATGGGTATCATTTTCGAGGTATTTGGGGATGCTCATTACGAATATGGCACTTATTTCTAAATCCAAGATGGCGGACACGAGTTTTCAAATAAATGCAATATGGGTATCATTTTCGAGGTACTTGGGCGTGCTCATTACGAATATGGCACTCATTTGTAAATCCAAGATGGCGGGCACGATTTTTTCAAAAAAATGCTATGTGGGTATCATTTTCGAGGTATTTGGGAATGCTCAATGTGAATATGGCACTATTTGTAAATCCAAGATGGCGGGCACGATTTTTCAAATAATGGCAAGTTGGGTATCGTTTTCGAGGTATTTGGGGGTGCTCATTACGAATATTGCTTTTGTTTGAACTGTCGTGTTTGCCATCTTGGATTTAGAAATGAGTCCCATATTTGTATTGAACATTCCCAAACATCTCGAAAACGATACCCAACTTGCCATTATTCGAAAAATGGCGCCCGCCATCTTGGATTTAGAAATAAGTGCCATATTCGAAACCTAAAACCGAAAATGCCATAAGCAAACATTAAAGAAAATAACTGTTAAAATAGATTAAAAAATCGCTTAAGAATGCTCCCCTTTTAAGAAAATAAAATATTTTAATATAAAATATTTCGCTTGAGTTACGAAAAGAAAGACATATAATAAGCTATCAAAGTTGTACTGGTGGTGCCAACACTATAGTAGAAACAAATATATACTGTAAATTTGTTGCAATATGTGCTCCAATTCAAATAAAATTAATATAAATAATTATTCAATAAAGCATGAACGCAGAGCCGTTAAAAGTATTATAAAATAATTAAGTGTCCCAATCACTTACAGGAGTTAACGAAAACATTTAATGTTTATTCGAGTAAATATTAGTTCAAAATGCGCAAATAAATCGAAATTACAGGCACCACTAAAATTTACGTAATATAATTATTTTGATACAGAATAGCAAAATGGGGAGAAAAAAAATTCGTTTCTTTGCAACACTTTCGTATCTTGTGGCCGCGAAATTATTTTTCTGTTTTAGTGAATATTTACATAAAAATATGAGTTGAAACGCATTACTTACTTGTGGAATGCGATGTTAGTGTCTATTTTGTTTGTCTGTTGTATTTTTACACCCATTTACCGCACATTTCGTCATTTTTAGCAAAAAATTTTGGAGCTGTTCGCGGTGCAATATGACCTTGAGCACTAACAGCCCGCGCGCTCCTGGGACGCGTTTGGAACCCTCTAACTTGCCTCACTTAGCGTGTGCGGGCTAGGTTTCTATGCGTTATTATTCTAAGTCTCACCACTTTTTCCAGCAATGTTCATTTGAATAACATATTAAAATCATATCTTATTAATATTAAATATATTATTAAAATAACACATCTTATTTGAAACATGTGAGTTCAAAAGTGAGGTTATTTCACAAATATAGATTTGTGAATAGTCTATAGTTACATAGGGCTGTTTTTGGTTTGTTTTTATAGGTTATGTAAGAAAAAATTCTAATCTCATGTAATATCATCACTCAGTATTTAATCACATTTTTTTATAGTAATCAGCAGCGAAATCTCAAAACTTATTTTATTATGGAAAACCCAATTATGCCAACGTATTCAATTGAACAGATTCATTCAATGAATTAATCGATTTGTGGCAGTACAGTTAGTTGGCCATCACAAAACTATCTATGGTCGGGTCAATGATCTGTTTGTTTACTTTTCTCGTACAATAGATTGGAACAGACTATACCAATCGGGGAACTTGATTTTTCCTTGTAAGGAGTCATGGAGTTTTTAAACTAGTTGCGAAGTTCTATGAGGAGAAACGAAGAGTGTCGGAAATTGGAGAAACAGAAAATAATGCATTGAATCTCTGAGGTCCCGAGTTCGATCCCCGGTCGGGTCTCGGGGTCTGGGTGTTTGTGGTACCGTCGTTGTTTTCGATTTCCATAACGCATCCCTCTTGGAAGAATGGCATAAGTGAAGTTCTCAAATTCTTGTAACTCTGTCGACAATATTAGTCGATAATTACAAATTGAAGATGAAAGGGGTTATATTTTTCTGTATCTAATGGAGCAATAAACATTTTTTGAGGGGCACGATAACACAAGTTGGGATAATACATATGTTATGGGATAATAAATGGGAGACAAAACATTTTGGGATTGGAGCAACGCATGTGATGTGGTAAACTTCAAATGAAATGTATTTAGAAATAATTATATAAATATTAAACAAACCTGCAATGACAGCATTTGATTGTTATTGTCTGTATCAGAAGCATGGCCCGACGAAAGCCCGTCTTCCACTATCGGCAAATGTGTTACTACAACTCTATTCGAGTCCATTTGACCTGAAAAGAATCATTATTATCATTAGCCTAAAAAAAAAAGAAACATTGAAGTCTTATTTTTTGTTCAGATGACCACGATGGCCCTATGATTTGCATTGTGGGCACTGGATAAGGAGATCCCGGGCTCGATTCCTGGTAGGAATTTTGGGAAAATAACGGTTTGACTGTACGAAAGGGAACGACGGAAAATTTTTTAAAAGTTTTTTGTTTTATACTGTTTTTAGAGTTTGTTTCGGATAGTTATGTTCTTATTAATTTTTCTCCGCAGGCCAGGCAAGGTATACAATATAAAACAAAATTTAAAAGTTTTCTGTCCAGTTTTCATGGTGCCTTTTTTCTTACCCTCTGACCAAATTGACATTTCTAAATTGTTTCTGGTCTAGGTGTTCTGAGTCCCTAGACGGAGGAATTCCCTAGTTTGACACCTAGAGGTAATAGGCATGGTTCACTGACACAATATTATTATTACATTTGCTTATTAAGCCAAGTTTATGTGGATATGGCCCCGTCGTTTTGCGCGGGGGAGTCCGTCAGGGTTGGAAGACTCAGTGCGATGATAGGGCAAATTGCCAGTTATTTAAAACAATTTACCGGTTATTAGTCAGATTGACGATTACTGAATGGATTTTTCGTTGGACCGAATAAGGCTTTGCCTAGTATCTAGTTCAAATAGAACATCATGGATTGAGTAAGTATAGTCGAATATTACATAACACATAATATTATGGCGAACGTGGCCAAACACAATTTTTTCAGTTCTTCATGAAAGTCATTAAAATTAGTAAATATTTATTAATTATTTCCTTTATGGCGGCCCTAGACTTGTGCCAGTATCAGCTTTATAAGAATAATATAAAAATTATGGCGATCATTGCCAGTGTCAGTGACTAAAGTTTCAAAACTTTTATCCGTAAATATTTACATTTTTTCCATCCTCTAAGATTTACGTCCATTTTCATAATGTCAAAACTTAAATGTCAGTAATCTAATTTCACAATATATTTTTTTTAATTTACATTAAAAAAAGACTGAATTATAAGAATTAATCCTATTTCATTTAATATTGTAAAAAATATCTCGAAATTGAAAACCAAGGAGAAAAAATGTATGAAAATGTTAAAATTTAAACCAACAAAGCTTTGCAATAGTATATACCACTACTTTTTTGTAAATCGTTATAGACTGCTGAAAATATAACCAGTAAAAAATATAATCAGTAAAAAAACAAAGACTCAAAATTTAAAACAGAAGACAATTTTTCCACAAAAATCTACAGTACCGTTAGTGTTTTGAGTACCGTCGTACACTTCTGAAAATATAACACTAATACTGGCACCATATAAGGCTAAATCGCTATCCACGACAAGAATAAGATCCGTCAATATGTACCTTGATTTATTTATTTACTCATTCATTTACATTATAAACTTACAGCTAAATAGCCAACACGCTTACATGTCAACAGACAATTATAAATATATTTAATTACGGTATTACTAAACTATTCTAATTCTAAAAATTTACAACTCTCCCTACATATATATTCAACGCTATTAACGAATATGTCAATGTGAACACACTGAGTGAGTATGTCCCCGGTCAGGCGTATAGCGCGAACGGTAGGCGTATTTGCGGCGTGTACCGTACATACGAGTGACGGGCTTGGAGCCGCAGCCGGCGGCGCGAGCCATCGCACCTTCATCACCCCAAGGTATACGCGTGGGCACCGGCAGATCAATCTTAGACATTATGTCAATATCCACCTTGTGATGAAACGCGAATATACATATATTGAGCCAGAAGAAACATCCTTCGCCTACGAGACAAAGTGTCTAAGTCCACAATGCTCGCAACAAACTGAGAAGGATAATATCCGTACTTATAATACCCGCTTGTTAGTCGTGGGCAACGTTTACGAGTGTAAGTAATGACTTTGCAATTCGATCTGTAAAATGGCATACGACTAGCTAAACTCCACTCTGACACCGCATCAATGTCAGCTTGCAATGCAAATTGATACACTGCCGTTTGTAGAAATATTAATAATATTAAGAAAGGTATTCATGTATATAAATAAATTTTGAAAACGTTAATAGTTTTGTTATTGACTCTCTTAATTATAAAATTTTGATTCTTACCTTTCATTTCGGAGAGCTCATTTTCCATGAGTATGAGCGAGAGGTCGGAGCCGGTGTCGCTGGTGTCAGGCGACAGCGCGAACGGTCCTCGTTGAACGTCACGACGCGCAGGCGCTGGTGATGCCGAGCCACTCCACGCTGCGCCCACACTTAGCTCTGATACGTTTGGTTCAGGATATTGTTCGCGTTGTTGCTAAAAGATAGAAGTAGAGATTATGATACGCTGTACACATAAGTACAACATCCGAAAAGCGTCATCTGCTAATTGCTACTAAGAAATTAACAACTACGTACCCGAAGGAATTATTTAAAAGAACATGGGGCGAATAATCAATAAAGTTTTATCACACGGTCCACTTCGAGCAGAGACGTTACAGAAAGTGATACACTTCGCATGAGTTGGCCATAAGCCAAAGAAATCGAGTACTAATTTTCAGATATGCCCTATAAACATACGTAATGTTTTGTTCAAAAAATGTACCTAAAGATAATCACCGATTGCTTTCATGAATAATCCAATAGAAATAAACAAAGCTAAATGTATTTTTGAGCACATCACACGGCGCGGGTTAGGTTAGTTCAACGAACAGATGGTGACAATCTAGCATATCGCATACGAAACCAAATACTGTCCTAACTACAAATTGTTGAATTGAGTGGACACGATTTATGAAAAAAAAAAATCGAATGAAACCTGTATAAATATATTCTCGTTTCTAAATTGATAATTAAGTATTATGTTTAAATAAAAACAATCCATTATTCGCAAAAAGACCCATACAGTGTTTTTTTTATTATTTGAAATTGTGTTATCAAGAAGTGTTAGGTATGAATGTGGTCCCATGGCCACGGCTGACTGGAGTCCTGTAAAAGGCCCTAAATGTTGGTTTGTTTGAAAAAACAAATACACGATTTAGATCCGAAAAAATTGTTTTTTTTTTTAAGTTTGATTCAATTTCAAGGTAAAAGTCTTTTCGTATCTCACAGTAGGGCCCCATGCTATGCTACGCTACGAAGGCTATGCATATGCTTGTCCCTCACTAATCACACTAAACAACACGAAAGCTTTATGTCCATGTAATAAAAGTAAAAAAAAACGGATGTCCGAGCGGAAGCGAAACGCTTTAATGCGAACGCGTAATACTATGTCGAGTCAATGGGTATGGTGAATTCTTTAGCCTGCAAGCTTTCAAGTTATGGCAATAGCAGATTTAATTAGTACCTGTAGCCCCAAGAAGTTAGTATGATTATGCGCAGTATGTGGTGAGTCTAGCGTGTCGGTGACGTGCGGCCACTCAGACTCGCTGCCTCCCTCAAGGCCGTTCTCTGATGGACAGTCCTGCGTCTGTCTTCTCAGCTCGTAGTCAAGGTCCTGCAATTTATTAGTAGGCATGCTGGTAACGCAAATGAAATACAGGGAAATAAAAAGCTCCGATTTTTTCTTACTACTTATTATTTATATTAATCATACTTGACTTCGTTTAATAATGCTTTTTTTATTATAGTTCGGGATGCGTGGAAGGACGATACGGCATGAGTTATGTCACGACGGGCGGCAGCGGTGCAGCGACACTCGCATTATCGACAGCCACAGACGACCCGTTTGTGTATTCGCAAACCGATAGATTGAGACGGCGAATATATCAACCCTGTTATAATACAGTCCCATAACGACCCTAACAAACATTATGTAGTTATTAGGGAGTCACCACACTTATCGACACGGAGTCGCATTAAGCCGGTCAGAAAAAAAAAGTGTAATTACACTTTTTTGAGCTAAAATCATGTACGTTTCGCGTTGGCGATCCGAGCGGAAGCGAAACGCGAGACGTCTTTTTCAGTCTTATTGCATGAACATAAGGATTTTTTTACCGACTTGTTGCGATTCCGTTTGAATAAATGTGACGAGTCCTTTATTATTAGTAACAATTTATCTTACCTAATCTTAAATAATTATCTTCATACTATTACTACAAGGAATGTATATAGTTCATAAATATACATTCTTGTTTTAATTTCTTGTTATAAATCTATTTGCTTACTTAATTGTTCTTATTCTCTAAGTGTGCCTTCAAATTAGATGCTTTAATCATTTTTAGTTCACTAATAGTGCTGCAAAAGTGGCGTGTGTCACGACAGTGGTGCTGCAACTGCGCTTCTACATAGTGTATAAAAATTAGTAATGGCGCGACAGCAGCGCCACAGTGGCGTCACTAAGGCGCTTCAATAAGTCTCATTTGAAGGCGCCCTTACTGTATTTGAGTTAGCCTGACACCAATAAGTGTAAGTGTAAGAGTAGGCATAAGTGTAGGTATTTCCATTTTGCGATCTTGTTGATGTAATTTTTTACCGTACCTGGAAATTAACAATTTCATCGTTGCTGTTCATCTGCTGGCCCGTAGCGGGACATCGAAAGAACTCTTCCAGAACCTTCCTCGTCTCTGAGAACTCGTACAAGTAGTCGAACGCTGCCGAGCTCGGCGGAGGCGAGGCGTGTCTGCTCTCTGTTACCACTCGCTAGACAGAAAACATCAGTAACAGTAAAAATCCAGTTTACTGTTACACAATAATAAAGCAGTTGTGTCAAAGATGATTCTATATGATATTCGTAAAGGCTGCCATGTACAGACGATTCCACGTCTCGATTGATCGTCACGATAATCGTATCGATCCATCACTACTCCCTTGGCGTTCAAATTATTCGTTAACGAAATTAACATATACTATCGATTCATCGTTTCAATCAGTCTGAAACAACGGAGCGGGAAGACGAATCGTCCCGTATATGGGGGCCATAAACACTATAAACAGTCTGTTGTTTTTAATTTTTTTTCTGGAAGGAAAAGGCAAAAATTTAAAACCATACAGCCAAGCCTTGGTGAATTTCTCTTGATCAGACGTTATTATCTATATCAATTTAATCTTAGATACCACTCATCATACAAACGCCTCGAGAGCAAACAATAAAGCATTATTGATAATTGAGGCAATCAGAGCAAAAGTGGTGTAACCCACATTTAATTTTTTTCTACAATATTACTTTGGAGAGAGGGGAGGGAGGCCTTTGCGCAGCAGTGGGACAGTATAGGCTCATAATAATAACATTACTTTAAATGATAATAAAGTACATTATTATTTTATATTTGGAATATTGTCTCATATAAAAAATGTTTAATTATTACATTTTTATGTCATAAAAAACATGCTCTCTCAGATCTCGGGTGTGATTCCCGAGCCGGTAGAAATAGTTTTATGGCCTACATTTATTATTCTCGTGGTTTGGGTGTAATTTGTTTGGTCTATGTGTGTGTCCATTACACCCGTGATACAGGGTTTCCCTAGTGCGAGGCTACGAGTGTGTGCGTTATTATTATTTAAAGTAATATTGTAGAAAATAAATAATGTAGGTTACATAACTTCTGCGCTGAGAGCCTCAATTTAATCACTCTACAGAGATGATATTGAAGTTGTACTGAAGTAGGAGCTAACCTGTGGAAATCCAGGCCTTGGAGATCTAGTGGTAGTCTTTTGCGGACCCACTCCGTATCTCCTCGGCGAGCCCTCATACTCAGCGATGGGCAGTTCGCCTATCACCCTGGTCACCCTGCTCTTGTCCTCATCCCCCGATATCCACACTCCCGACGGGCTTCCCTCACTTAACCTCGCATCCTCTCTAGACGGAGTCGATTCACTCCCTCCGTCACAACTCAGTTCACTCTTATTGTTCATCAAATCACTATCACAATTTTTAATATTGTCTAAAGTTCTCTTTACACTCATGTCTATCTCATTGTCACTAGCTTCAGGGTCCATCCTCAGACCTAGGGACATAGAATTCAATATCACTGAAAATAAAAAAGAGAGAACAAAAAATATCAATAACAATGGTTAATAGGATGAACAAAATATAACATAAGCAGTAAAGTTGGTTGGAGCTACAACTACCCAAAACACTGTACAAGAAAAAGTCAATGTCAAATAATCATTTATTTCATAGGTAAAATTTTTATACTTGAAAACGTCATTTTTTAAGCTACTCGTTCACTACGCTGGCCTCCCTGAGAAGAACGTACAAGAAACTTTAGGGATTGCTTTTTTTCAAATTCAAATTCAAATTCAAAATAATCTTTACTTCATAGGTAAGCATTATTACACTTGAAATCGTCACAATGGTTAAACTCTACCGCTCATTTGTAAGGCAGATTCCCCTGAGAAGAATGAGCAAGAAACTCTAGGGGTTGCTCGTTGTAAATAACATTTACAATATTTTTTTTT